GTTAATTCATAACCACTACTAATAATTTACATAATATATTATGTATGTTGTATAGTGTCTGCCTCCGTACGCCAATAAGCTATAACCTTCACAAAGGCAGGGATCTTTGTTTTATTAACCTATCCTAAGTGCCTAGAACAGTGCTTGATACAGAGAAATACTCAATGACTATTTGTTGAAGAAAGAATGAACGGTGTTGAATGCTGCTGAGGAGGAAAGGAGAATGACATCGAGGCAAGGTCATTGGATGGATGTTTTAGGAAGTGATTGGCAATGCTAAGGAGAGCAGTTGCAAGAGAGAAACTGGGGAGAGGGGTGGGTAAGTGGGGAAGGGTAGAAGAAGTGAAAGCAGCAAAGATCATAGTGTTTAAATCACAGAGCAAATTAATGTTTGGGCATAATATTTAAAACTGTAGTATCAGGTCTTTCTGAGGCTGGTATTGGAAGACAGAAGGCACATCGCTGGTAGACAATCACAACAGGCTGGCCTGTGAGGAGTTGCAATTTAGAGGTCAGTATGTGACCTGCAGTGTATCCAGATTCATGTAATAACGTGCTGTTCTGTAAAGGAGGTACACAGAGTGTTCAAGTACAACCTATTTTAAGACAGTCTAATTTTTGCAAAATCAAAAGCTATAAATCACATTAGTCAAGGGTGATGGATTTAGATGAAGATAAGAGAGGAAGAGGAAGCGGGAAACTGAGAAAGCAACTAGGGCTCAACAAAAAGTACAGGAAGAAAACAGCAGGGAGAAGACACCTCCCTGCTGAGGAAAGGCGACAGTCTGGGCCTGCCCCAGAGAAAACAGCCCCATCAGATGGCCGCAAGGGAGGAAAGGGCAAGCAAAGGAGGAGGCCATTCTTGGAAGTTAAGACGGCCAGAGGAAAACAACAAGCGCAATTATAGAAAGATCTGTAGAAAGGGGATCTGCTGGAGGAGGGAGAAATTGGAACTTGAGACAATGAATAAGCCAGAAATCAAGGCCTCAGCGGGGAAAGGGAAAGAGAAAACCTTGAGGGCAGTCAAAGGAGGAATAAATCCACTTCAAGAACATGCTCCAAGAATAGGAGAGAACACGCAAGGGCACAGAGGGAGCGGAAGGAGAAACTCGAGAAACAAAAACTAAAAAGAAGGAAATAAAAATCTGAATGCACCTTTTGTATGAGACACTGGGAAGTGTTCAACTGTGTGTGTGGAATTTGTTTGATGATGGGTCATTAATTCATTCTGTTGTGGCATGCACTTGCATATGTAAAATAAACACCTGGTGAGGGTGAGATGCAGAGAGCTGGGGCCCAGGAGGGGAAAGGGATGTTTAATTCAGACCCACATGATGTTCGCCTAAGCCTTCAGTAGTGTTTAACTCCAGAGAACCTGGAATGGGCCCACTAGGAACCCATTACCTGGTGAAATGTGGAGCCTCTTAGGAAGAATTTATAACCCTTTTCTTAGGTGGGATGCAAGGCTTCACCAATGAGCTAGACCTGCCTACTATTTGTCCTGGAGAATACAATATCTCCTTTGGTGAGAGGTGACTTTCCTGTGTCTTAGGACTTGGCAGGGGGCTTTTCTTAACTAACAATAACCACGCAAGAACAACAACAGTGAGCATCGATTAGGGAGTTTCTTGACATGAACTGTGCTAAGCTCTTTATATACAGTTGCACTTTACTATTCACATTCTGCATTCATCTACTTGCTAAAATTTATTTGTGACCCCAAAATCAAAACTTGCAGTGCTTTCATGGTCATTCATGGATGAGCACAGAGCAGAGGATAATTTAAGTCCCCCAGTGAACATGCACCTTCCTCATGATGCTTTCCTTTTAGTTTCAGCTCTTATACCATAACCTGGGGTCCTTGTGGTGGTCTATTCAGTGCCACATTTTTTTTGCATCTTTGTAGATATTTCACTGTTTCAAGTAGCCTCCAAGCTAGTGCTGAAGTGCTATTGGTGTTTCTATGTGCAAGGAGGTTGTGGTCTGCCCTACAGAGAATACATGGTTAGACAAATCTCCACCAGGCATGAGTTTTAGTGCTGTTGGCTGGGAATTTAATGCTAATGAATCAGTCAAATACATTGAATAAAATGTCTTTAAAAAGAAAGGCACATAAAATAAGGGAATGTATTGATTGGCTGACAAAAGTTTTGTGACCCGAAACTCACAAGAACCTAACCCTGTAATTCCGTGAAGAGCGTTGGTTGAGTATTTACTAATTCAGCATTTGGAGTGACTTTATGGAATATAACTGCCACAAACAATGAGAATCAACTGTATGTTATTTCATTTAACAGTTACAGGTCAATAAACTAATGCTATAAAAGGCCCATTTTACAGATATATAGGCCTAGAAGAACGTTAGGCCTAGAAAGGTTAACTGTTGAGTTCAAGGTCATAATACTGGCAAGGGACTAGAGCCCAGTCTGACTCCAGACCAGCACATGGTGTTTATGCTGCCCTAGAGTGAGGGTGTGAAGGGGAAGGATGAATTCCACATAGTAGAGGGAGGATTTTATTCATGAACAAACAGGGACTGACCCCAGGAGACTGCCAGGAATTGTTTAATGGTAATTTAAAGTAAAACTGGAATTTCTGAAATCACAAGTAGAGAAGGAACCAGGAAAATACTGTTTGTTATTGTTGTGACCTTAGTTTATATTCCTGAAAGCTGTGTCCTACGGAAACTTGGGCTACATGAGGTTATGATCATGCTTTGAAAAGAATAAAACACTATGCAAATGTGTGGTACAATAGAAAAACACTGAGCTGGGAGCAGAAAATTTTAGTTCAAGTCCTAACTCTGCCAGTAACTTGCTATCAGCCTTTTGAGAAAGTCCCCTTCACAGCCCATACCTTAACTACCTGACCTGTAAATGAAAATGCTGGTAAATTATTTTCTCTGCTTGAAATTTTTCTGATGTGAAAACTGTACAGCTCTGTCTGGATCCTACCTGGGTGACTGGAAGTCCTATGTTGCCTGGAGTAGGCTTGATGTCCACCTTTTTTCTTAGCATCAATACTAACAGCATCTTCTTTCAGAATCAAAAGTGTGCCAGTTTGAACAATAAATAATATGATTATCCTGTGCTTCACCAATATTTGTTCCTTGGGTCTTCTTGGCTGAGTCAGATGCAAGAAAAACCTTACCCTTGTCTCAGTAGTGGAGACCGGCTGGGGTTACCTCTTCTAGACACAGTGGGTTCTTGCTGTCTGGTTGCTGGGCTGCTTGGCTCTTACCTGCTTCCACGTTCCTGGCCCATCTCACCTGGCTCTTGACTTACAGCTTACACCTTGAATATGAAATATCCTGCTGCTTAAACTGAGAAACAATTCTTCTTTGCCTTTTGGCTTCCCAAAAAGGAAATTATTTCAGCTGGACTGTGAAAAGAGGACAGTAATTAATGTAGAGAAAGAGTAATTTGATGTAGCACTGCTGATTCAAAGACATAATATGCTGTAATGTAGTCATTCCTAGTCCTATTGGATTTAATGCAATTTTTCATCAAATTACCTACAATCATAGTATAATTATATAAACCCTGACTGAATATAACAAAAATTAATTTTAAAATACAGAGCTAGATTGAGAAGTGAGATGTTGAAAGAAAAACTTCTGCCACTCTGTGAATCTTTCTAAACATATTCATTCTCTTGCTGTCATGTAAAAAAGTTACATGAATCACTATGTGAAATAAAATTGTCTTCAACATAAAACAAAGCAGTGATCTATAGAAATAAAACATAAAAAGAGAATATGTATACCTTATTCTTTTTAGTAGGTTAAAATATACTATATAATTTTATTATACTCTTAATTTGCTTAGCAAAACGTTTCCTCCCAGATACTGAAAGACAAACTTTAGCTCAGACCAGATTTAATAATCCTAAACTTTCTGAATGTCATTTGAAAAATTAAACAATCAATTGGTCAAATTCTCTAATCTGTGTTTGTGGTTCAAAATCCTTTTCCCTGTCTTTGTAGGTAACCTTCAGCTATTCAACCCAGAAAATGTAATATGTTAATGATTGAACAAATATCACAAAACTAGCATCCTACTCAAAATGCTGTTTCTCAATTCTGCTCATGAGTTTGAAACAAATAATTTCTCAGTAGTAACTGCTTGCTTTCCAGAAAGGGCTACGATTCAAGAAGAAGGGTTGCGGAAAACTTGTACTTGTAACAAACCTGATTGGCTAGCATCTACCTTAGAATCCTTTGGGACAATATTAAGGTGGGCTATATTGGCTAAAAGACCATATTTCTAGGAACTTGCCAACCAGAAACTCAAATGAAAGCTGTGCTCTTGAAGCTCTGAAGCAAAGATGTCAAAGTAACACTATGTCCCTTCATAGTGCCTGCTCCCTGCTCAGAAAACAACCCTGGGAAGACCCAAGGCCTCACAGGACCTTGGCTGGTCTACGCCCTAAAGAGGAAGAAACAACCAGCATCTTTTATTTGATTTAGCTCAGTTTAAAATATCATCCCATCTGTGCCAAAAAGGGGCAATTTGATCTTATAAGCAAATGGCAAAAGGAATTTTGCATTAGAGGAAAAACAACAACAACAAAAACCTGTTTGTTTGTTAGTTTCTTACACTTTCTGCAAATATCTTAATTTTAAATGCTAAATGTTGTTAGGACACTTTATTTGAGAGGTGTATTAAGCACAAATCTTTTTTATGATATTGGGCATTTATGTTCAATCTCTTTTCTGTTAATAATTTTTTTATTTGATAATTTTTAAAAAGAAAAATAAAACAAATGTCTCTTTATCCAGTGTGTGGCTCCAGATATTTGACTTTTAAATGTTTACCTAAGGAAAAAAAGAATGAGGTTGCTATTTGCCAAGGCTGGAAGGATGGAATTTGATATTTGTTTACGGAAGTCATTGGTGCTACTGCCTTACCTGCTACCCACTGCCCTACTCTGCCACTTTCTCATTCTTCAAAAGTTTCACTGACATGAACCTCACTTGTGGGTGGCAGGTTATGATCAAGCACATAGTTTTATCTTTGTCTTATGCAACATTTGGGGTAAAAAGAAGGTTACATGGTAACCAGTTTAAATCATGAACTACGGGCAAAGATTGACCAGGCCAGGCCCTGAGACACACACTGTGTTGAGAGCCAAGATGCAAAGTGGTGAAGATTCAGGCTCAGAGCCCAGCAGGCCACAGGGTGGAGGGGTGATGTGAGTTATCAACCAGTGACTGCTCCTGGGTCAGGAATGACTTTTTGACCCTTTTTTGGATTTTCTATCATGAGCAAGTATGTTTGCTTACCTCAGGTGAGAGCCCAAGTGGGAGCTGGGGGAATATAAACGTTCTCTGCCACTGACTGGAGGGGCAGCACAGCCAAGAATCATGAGTACTTTTGCCTTTGTAACTATATTTTCTTATGGTTAGAAACAAAAGTAAACAATTTAAGTAATTCTGCTTAATGGAAATCAGGAAAGAGAAAAGGCAGCTATGAAGTGTTTTTACAGACCGTGCATGGACCCTAATGGTAACCTAAATGTGAGAGGATGCCAGGCACTGAGAATACCCTGTGCAAGAAAATGATAAAAGCAAGTCTTCCCAGACATTTCCCACAGACCCAAGTATTTTCAAAGGCACAAAAATAAGAAGAGTGCCCTTTTTGAGTCACAAGATTGGCATGAATCGAAGAACTGGTTCTATGCTTGCTGTAATCGTTGTTCAAGGAGGAAGGGGGAATCCATTGAATGTGTTCAGTGAGCTGGAAAGGTAACTTTCCTGACTGGAAGGAAATGATCAAGGGGGAGAAGCCAGGAGGAAAGACATATTAATGACCAGATCTCATTCTTCTCCCTTTATGCCTGGCCTTGAAAAGGACAGATTGCAGAATAGGAAAAAACAAATAGTTTGAAGCTTCCCAGGAGATGGATAAACAGCTATCCTTCAGAAAAGGATGAGCTGTTGGGTATACTGACTGTGTGACACCTCACAAAGGTAGGAACACTAGTTAGACCATCACTGGCATTTTGGTTTACAAGACTCTGTTCTCTTTCCCTCAAAACTTGACGAGATGCAACTTCCTTCCTGAGCTGAACTGTTGTGTTGGTTGTAGTTCTTGTGCCTCATTACTCACCGTCAGTGCTCAGTGATGAAATGATAGAAAACTCGAGTCAGTGATAGGGACTACCTGAGACTGATCAGGCAACAAAATGAAACCTTCAAGAGCCTCTGGAAAGAGAGATGGGAGAGGAAGCAGGGGAGGGAATTTTGTGCTGGGCTCCTGGAGGTGCCATAAACCAGATGAAGATCTGGAACTTGTCTGCAATCAAAAAGCAAGGGGATAACTCAAGGTGCTCAAGGAGGGGAAAAGAAAGCAGGCTTGGTCTTCTTGCGGTAATGGTTGAAATGTGAATGATCACATTCTAGTTAGGCACATTTCTTCAAATTTTATTCCATATTGCATTGTACCTTATATATGTGAAAAATGTAATATGAAAATGAAATCGCTCTTTGATTTTTTTGTATTTTAAAAAGTATAATCAGCTGTGTCCCTGCTTCATCCAGTTTCTCTTAATTAAGGAAAGCCTCTCTGGAGACCTTCTGTACTTGCAGCAGATACCTGTGTATACACAGCTGCATATACTATAATGTCAGAGTTAGTGCGCTTTAATAAATTATTTAACAAATAATCAGCCTCCATAAAATTGGTCTTGAATATCCATACATGTTAAGTGACGGCAACTATCAAACTCTAGGAATAACAAATACCCACTCAGTTCATTAAGAAATAATGTAAGTTTTGGAGCAGAGAGATATGTGGACTCAAATCCCAGCTGCAGAGTAACCACTATGTCACCTGTAACCTCTGTGAGCTTAGTTTTCCCATTGATATTAACTCTAATTTCTAAGAAGCTATACTGTTGTAGGAATTACACATGATATATGCAAAGTGCTAGCACAGTGTCATACAGAGCCTTAGAGCCTCAGTTAATGCTCATTACTGTCATTACGGCATACCATGAGACCATTCATATTTTTAGAAATATAGATACTAGATAGATGGGGGATCTTAAACCTAGTTGGTTTAAAGTCCCATTGATCATCTAAATATAAAATAATAGCATTCTTAAAAGTGTTTTTCAGAAATATTAAGAACTACAAGATTTCTACTTAAACTAGAAATAGTTTTGGTCTCACATAAGGTGACCAACTGGGACTCCCAAGGTGAGGTCCCCGGACCAGAAGCATCAGCTTTACCTGGAAATTTAGGAATGCAAATCCGTGTGTCCCAGCCCAGACCTAATGAGTCATAAACTCTGTGGCTGGAGCCTGAAGTATGTGTTTGAATCAGTTCTCCAGGTGATTTTGATGCATGCAGTATGCTAATGTTTGAGAAATGCTGGGCTATGTTTCACGTATGCTAAACTAAGACATTTTACAGAGGAAAACAGAAAAAAAAAAGCAATAAGCCTGTTTCAGTTTCTTTAAGACACATGCGTCAGTACTTTTATAGCTGGTAGTCTGCCCTATAACTAAAATGACTCAAGATTTTATCATTTCATCATTGAGCTCTGATAGTGAGTAATGAGGCACAAGAACAAAGACAAGATACGACAAACAACACAATAGGTTAGCTCAGGAAGGAAGTTGCCTCTGTGAAAGTTTTGAGGGAAGGAGAATAGAGTCCTGTAAACCAAAATGCCAGTGATGTTCTAATAGCTTTCCTACCTTTGTGAGATGTTGCATAGTCAGTGTCCCAACAGGGACTAGGGCAGGAAGTGTATGGGTAGGGTCAGATAATATTTCTGAAAGGAAACACCCAGGAGTATCCCAAGTTAATGACATTTTAGACTGTTCAACAACCATACAGTCAGTTCCTTGGGAAGACTCTGGTTACTTTTACAAAGCAAACCAGGAGAATTTTTATAATACCTGATAACTATGCAAGACTTTGAATGTTTGAATTTCTAGGACACAGTATTGTGCAACAATTCACTTTATCCCATAATATTTAAATCTACCTCCAGTAAGCCTCTCAGCACCTAACACAGGTTTCTTAGTGAAGAGCTACCTTTTTGTGGGTAATGGGAAAGGAAAGTAAACAACCAAATAATATCATAATCACAAGTGTCAATGATTAGTGGAAAAGGTGGGGGTGATCATTAAATTCTAGTTGTTTCCACTATTCCAGTGGGACTTGTGGGAATGTTAGCAAAAGACCAGGGTGTTATGATCTGATTGTGTTTCATCAATTGCCTTGGCTTTTGAATGAAATATGATGTAAGGACAAATCATTATTAAATTTGCCACAGATTCTAATTTTTTCCCTAACATGAGGCTAACCATGACATCCTTTCCCAGGAAGAACAGTCTCTCCATGATCAGGGAAACATCAGCAGGGGCTTCCTCAATTGGTGCTTTTCTCCTTCATCCCCACCACAGAGTCATAGAGGTCAAGTCCTTTTCTTGTTAAACCTAAAAAACGCAAATGTCAAAGTTGCTGCTATGGTGTACTAACTTTTGTCACAGTGACATGCCCTGTCACAGGGCATATGTATTCTGTTATACGATTGAAATATTGGATATACTATTGTTTTTGTACTATTGAAATCTCGAATAAACTGAATTCTAAAATAAGTATGTCCTCAACAATCTCACACCTACTTATATCTTACAGGTCTTTCTGTCTAATGCTGGCGACCTAAGCCATGTTCCAGGCAAGCAACATTCAATAGCATTTTACTGCTCCAACAAGTTGGTTCGATTAGTAATGTCAAAGGGAGTCACTAAATAGATGGTGCATAACTATCATATAATCTCATATGATTTTCCACCAGTTACCATGGAAAAATTGATGAAGTTTCTTTACAATGGAGTAAGTTCAATCACACTTAAAAAACTAAATACTGAAGATATCCACAGCTGGCTGCTCTCTAAAAAATCAGAAATGGCATCTTTACTTTGTTTCAAATCCCCAATCCTGGTGGTGGTCCAAAGTTACGGCAGTTAGAACTCCTTATGTCGATACAAGGAGGTTGGGAGCATATTAAGTCAGCATCCTTTAAAACTAAGAGTATGACTACAGTGAGGTGGAATTTGGGACCTCACACCCACTCCCTGTTTCTGTTCTATTTTACCTTTTCTGACTTCTAAGCCAACAGGAGAGGGGGAAGGGCCACACTTTTGTGACCCTTCCTAAAAAATTGTGTTGAATTTTGGAAACAAAGAGGGACTTCTGAGGGGGTGGTTGAGGATGGGCTGAAGGCACAGAAGAAACCAACTTGTGTGCCCCCCTCCCCACTAGCAGACCCTTCTTCCTCATTGGTTCAGGTCACACAATCCCCAAGAATTCAAGGAAACACCTAGAGTTATTCCCTGTTATTTCCCATTTCTCTTTTCTTTGATCTGGGGTCAATGAAGTAAGAAATCTAAAGGTGAAGGAAAGGCAGAGATCAACACTGAGCAAGTCTGTGTTGGAGAGGGTAATATCACCAATGACTATACCCAAAAGAAGGGAGCAAAACGCCCTGGGTGATGCTCTGCATCACCTAGGACTGCCACTGTCCCCTGTCATCATTAGCATTGCTGAGCTCAAGCTTTGAGCCAGGAATTAAACCAAAATCTCCATGGATCTGTCTAACTTAGTCTTAGTCTTTGCCTCCATTACAGCTTGTTACACCCTGAGATAGATCCTTTGTAAACCCTGTGTTCAAAGGGCGCTGTTAAAGCACATCTTCTGTCTTGAACCAGAAAATTGCTTAAGCCCAGAGCCTAAAGGCAGAGCTGCCATGATCTGTTCATGGGGATTGACTACTTATTGATGCCAAAGTCACACACCTGTTTGTCATTTTCACTTCCAAATGAAGAGTCATGCTGCACATCAGTGAGAAATGTTCAGCTGTCATCTGTCAGCTGTTTGTTTGTTTGTTTCTGCTCTCCTTCTACATGAGAACACATTTAATCATGGACCAATTGGGCAAGCAACATTGTGTGGCCTCTGAAGGCTGAGATTTTAGTTCTCTCATCAGAACAAATGTAAAAGGATAGAATAATGAAATTTGAAAGATTGAGTCGCTTCAAATCTAAAAATATTTATCCCTTTCTCACCTTCTCTAAATAGTATTGTACACTGAATTGAAGCCAAAATAATAACTGCAGATTCTAAAATGTCTAACATTGTTTACATATTCAAATTTTTATTTTGAAGTTCCTTGAAAGGGGCTAATTACTACAACCAAATCATACAATTAAAAAGTTTGCATGCTGTTGAAATAATTACATCAGATGTATTGCTTCCAATAGGAAAGATTTAAGCTATAAAGACCCAATCTACAGAAGATAGCAACTCAGTGAGACTTAATTATACAAGTGTAGTTTTGTTGCCAGCACCTATGAGATATCATAAAAATCAAGTTAAATATTTGTAATAAAGGATTACAGACTAGGAAAGATATTTCTTTTATAAAAATAGCTCATGAAAGTTGGATTGTGACTAAGAGGAAGAGAAAAGAAGGAAAGAAACTAACAATTGTTAAATACTTATTGGGTGCAGAGATTTATATACTTTACCTCATTTAACTGTTCAAACAGTCTTGTGAAGTGGGTACTATGACTACCACTTTGAAGATGAGGGAATTGAAGCTCAGAGAATTTGAGTAACTGAACCAAAGTCGTATAGCTAGTAAGTAAAGAACTAGGATTCAAATCTAGATCTGTATGCTTCCAAAATTCATTCTCATTCTTTTTGAGTATACGAGAGGCCAATTAAAAAACCCCTACATCCCTCTGAATTTGAACTCAGTTGAGAAATAAGACAGAAAGATGCAGATCAAAGCACTTGTTTTCTTACTGATAAAAATGACTGACTGGCAAATGTGACTTTTGATGTGTGACCAATTTGCTTGCGATAGTTCGTGGGGAATTGGAAATCCTTGCCCTTGTGGTTTCTGGCTCAGCAGGACCCCTGTGGGGCTTCTCCCTCTCCAGGGAGAGTGCTCTGGAAGGTTTACCACACCGGTGAGAAGATGAGCATGTGGGGGATTGGTTGGCCAAGGGAGAAATCAAGGCTGAAGCCAAGTGTGCTGAGCTCTCACATGAGGTCCTTTGCTCCTGTTTCCTGGAATCATAATTGGGTGGGGTAGAGAGAAGCAGGGATGTTCCTTCTGTCCTTTCTCGCTTAGGGAGTGGGAGTGGAAATTTTTCCACATCTAAGGAAATTTGAAAAGACAAAATATGGTTGCTTCTTCAAGCAGACCACCTAACCACACTATCCAGGGTCTAAAACCCACTTGCTGCTGTTAAATTATGCCAAGAGAGAACATTCTGATCATTCTCCTCAATTCTAGGCATGGCATTGTGGCTCGGTGCTTAAAGGCTGGAGTTTTGAGTTGCAGATCTAGGTTTGAGTGCTGAATCTACTAGCTTCAGGGTGTTAAACAAGTTTCTTAATCTCTCTAAACCTTATTTTTCTCAAAGATAAAAATTGGGTGTAGTTGTGAAGATAGTGAATGGCACATAATATGTGCATTTGACACATTAATTTGCTATTATCTGGACATAACTTCTCCTAAGTAAAAGGATGAACTAATTGCAGGGCCTAGCCTAAGCTCTGAGAAGTCATTTTTTACAGGGTTTCAGTCCACAGTAAGCAAGAAGAAATGAGATAAAGAGTTTAAACCAGGGAAGGCATAGCTGTGGTCACCAAACAACCTATTAGTGACTGAATTGTGTTCCTCAAATTCATATGTTGAAGTCCTAACCCCAAGTACCAAATGTTACTGTATTTGGGGAAAGGGTCCTGAAGAAGTCATTCAGTTGGAATGAGTCATATTGCATTAGGTGTTGGGAATTGGCTGGCCAAGGGAGGGAAAATCAAGGCTGGAACCAAGTGCTGAACTCTCACATCAGGTCGTTTGCTCCTGTTCCCGGTACTCTTTACGGGGGTCCAATATGACTGGCATCTTTATAAGAAGAGAAAGAAGCACCAGGGAGGTACATGTACAGAGAAAAGGTCATTTGAGAACACAGTAAGATGGAGGGAATCTGTAAGCCGAGGAGAGAGACCTCAGAAACCAGTCTTACCTGTATCTTGATCTTGGATGTCCAGTCTCCAGAACAGTGAAAAAAACAAATTGGTGTTGTTTAAGCCACCTGCTCTGTGGTATTTTGTTGTGGTGGCCCTAGCAGACAAATATACAACCCAAAAGATTCTTTCCACATTCGCCATTTTCTATTTTATAGTTTTTTCTCCTTTTGTTTCCTTCTCTTCTCTTCCCTCTTTCCTTTAGTTTTTAATTTTAATTTTAATTTTAATTTTTGGCCTTCCTATTCCTCCATCTGCCTTTCCAAGAAGCTGAATTCCAGACAATTAACCATTCATCTCAACAGTTTAGCAAATCAAATGCCCTCAATGGTTTCTTTTGTGATTCAATTAATATAGAATCAGAACGTAATGTACTCCTCTGGGAAAAATGAAACAAAAAATTCAGAAATAAGGTTTTGGGTCAGCTTCACTGGTTTTAAGAGAGGGAAGGGAGAAGACTCTTGCAGGTTTGATGCTGGGCAGCACTATGTGGTTGGGCCTGGCAGGCACTCGAGGCTTTAGGTCTTGGTTTGAATCCAGATTAGAAAATCATTACTTTCTAAAAGCCTTGAGGGTCTAGAAGAGTTTATGTGAAGGGATAATGTTTGGAAAAAGTTTTGCAGAACTAGAGAAAAGTTTCCAGTTACCTTTTCTGTCCTAATGTAGAGTATCTTTGCTAACTAGGTCTTGAATCAATCCATGTTGTCTATAAGAGTAACCATTTTTAATTTCTCACTGGCCAGCACTAACACCCTTTAGAAAACGAGTTCAAAGCAGCCCTAGTAACCAGAGTCATGCGGCCATGGTGGGAATAGAGCTCCTCACCAAGGTCAGCTCCTCAATGAAATCCGTGCCTTCTGGACGACTGCTTGTAAATAAATATTAAGCATGACCATTAAAAAATAATTTGGCTCTGACCAGCAAATAGGGAAAGAGTGTATCAATTTCATTATTATATAAGCATACATGACCAAATACAGCTAGAGTGGAGTCCTGGCTCACGTACTGAGCTTGGATTTCCCCAAGGAACACTTTCACATAATTAATAATGAAAAGCTTTCCATTTACTGTGGTTCAACTATTTGCAGAATTTTCAGGCTGCGCTCAGTGGCCCTAATTTTAGAGGTATAATGAGAAGATCACCACGTTACGGAGGCTCTTCCCTCCCAGTTTACTCCTGGAGCCTATTTAATTTGTAGCTCTAACTCTGTGTTCCCAGATTTGGTCTTTCCTCACATCTCAGCAGCTGCACTTTGCTTGAAATGAGATACTCCCATCTCCGGTCACTGTGCTCTGGCCCCCTGGACATTCTTCTTGCCCGCTCTCCACAGTGTAGCTGCTGAGAGTCCTTTGCCCAGGAGTCCAGAGTAAGAGGACAATCTTGACTGTGCCTGCCCCCCTTTAGTGACAAATTCCTCAGTTCACTCATTTCCTAGGGCTGCTGAAACAAGTTACCCCAAACTTTGCAGCTTAAAACAATACAAATATTATTCTCTCAAAGTTTGAGAGACAAGAAGTTGAAACTCATGGTGTTGCCAGGGCCATGCTCACCCTGA